TAAATTAAAAGGGATAATATACGCACATACTTTTTAAGATGGCTCTTAGGGTAGAAAAAGAAATACTACCAAATCCTAAACGATCTGAAGCAGTAGCGGATCAGAAAACACCCAGACAAGCAGAACTGAGATCAACTGAAGAAACAGTGATTCAAATCCCGAAGAAAACCCAGCCACAGGCCAAAAAGAAGATAGAGGACAATTTTAGTTCAGGAGGAAATAACCTGTTTCTAATACTCCTTCAGAAATTAGAAGAAGGGCAAGAAGGTATAACAGAAAGTCTTAGGAATTCGGAAAGAAACCTAAAAGAATTTATAGACAGTAAAATAAATAAATTCACGACCGAGTTAACCAAAAAGACAGAGGCGAAAGAAGAGGTCAGCCTAGAACATCAATCAGAAGGTAATGAAAAAGTTAACAAGCTAGAAGAGAATTTGGGTGAAATCATCACCAAAAATAATGATCAGAAGACTCTCAATCCTACAAATCAAACAAGTGACATTGAAAATGTTCAAGGTCAAGAGAATGAATGTCTTGAATCTGAACAGGAACCTAATGAAGTTATTGAAGTGGATGAACCTATATCAGCCGTACCCTCCTTAGGCGAGAATAGAAAAATTGAAGATGAAGGAACTACCTCCGAGGAACAAGAAATACAAGAAAAGACTCTACATTTGATACTGAAAGTCTTGAATCTGAACAGGAACCTAATGAAGTTAGTGAAGTAGATGAACCTATATTAGCCGAACCCTCCTTAGGCGAGAATAGAAAGATTAAAGAAGAATATATAGGCCCCCTAGCTTCAGTCGAACTCTCCAGAACAGAAAAGACTTCTCCGAAAGTAGAAGGAATTACAGAAGCCCAGGAGGAAACCTTGAAAGGTTTTGTATTAGGTTCCATAAGGATCAGAGAATTCTTTTTCCAGGTCGATAAGGAGACCCACGAGATCCTAGGAATTAAAGAAGAATATATAGACCCCCCCAGCTTCAGTCAAATCCTCCATAACAGAAAAGACTTCTCCAAAAGTAGAAGATGAACCAGCCAAGATAGAAGTGTGGAACAAAAGACTATCAAAACATATAAGATCAGTACCGAGAAGTAATAAGTGTACTAATTATAGGTATGCAGAAAACGAGACAATCCCCATGTATATTTTAGAAGATGAGGGATGTAAAGGTTATATGGCTCTGAACCATGTTAGGGCAGGCCGGTTAAGATCTTATTTTAAGCCACGGTAGTCTTTGTCCCATTCCAGAGGGCAAAAAGGGGTTTTTTAGCGTCCCTTCCGTTGACGAGCTAATTGGTCCTGGCGAAACCATTGTTAGGTTACCCATTCTGGAAAATTGTAAATAAATTGTATATTAGTTGTAAATATAATTTTGTAAATAGGGTGGTAGGATTTAATAACTAATTTAGACTGCTGAATGTAAGGAATCTCAGGCTGAACCGACCAAAGTAAATTTATAATTAAATTCATTGTATGATCTTATGATAATAGTTAAATTAAAACAGAGTTAAAACCTTTTTAATAATAGATTTGTGTTACTAAACTTTTATTAGAAAAGAAAAAGGGAAGGACCGAAAATAAATCATTATTAAATAAAGGGATAAAACTTTTTATTTTAATTTAAATGTGCAGTGGCCAGATTGATGGGAGTAAGATCTAGTTAAAATTATATTGCCGTAGTTCAAAGTTAGCGCAGACGAGCACCCCAAATTAACTTCTTAAGAAACATTGGACCATTTTTTTTTTAATCCTGATAGGATTTAGTTTAAAGGAATAGGGAATAGTTACCCTCAACTAGGAGTAGACATAGTTCCTCCTCATCACCCGTAGGGTTGATAAATTTATATAAGGGAGAACCCTTTTGATGGAATAGCTGTAGTGCATCCATTCATCACTAAGTGTGATTGATAATAAATAATTAGGAGAAGATAAAGAAATCTTCTATAACTATACCTCCAGAGTACTGAGGTAGTATGTGTATGGATCCAGAAGTTAAAGATTTAAAAATTATAATGGTAAATGGGGCTGAAGTAATATACTTCATTATTATGATGTGCACATGACTACATTTGAGGCAAATTTAACGGTTTATAGCGGCCACGTGTAAGAAATGGATGACCCATTCATAATTAAATCATAATTGAAAATCATAAGATAGGAATTGAATAGTTTATTGAGTAATAAAATATTAATAATCATTGAGAAAACGAAGTCGCCTGAGGTTCATTCACTATTTCAGCAAAATATATAAGCATCCCGATAGTGACATTAAAATGTTTTTCACGAACATTTGCCAGCCCATTGTTTAAAAACAAGTTTTGACTTCTCCTTTTGGAGAGCTAAAGGTATATATAAATTAAAATTGTGTGAATGATGAGAATGCTATGTGCTTCTACACCAAAGATATGACATTAAAGCTTAAAGGTAAAAGCTGGTACAAACCACTTAGAAACCTAAGGTAAAATTTTTGTTTTTGTTATAACGGTTGCCACGCAAGGTAGTTATACTAAATGAATATATATGTTGTGTTTATAACATTACAGTAACATTACAGTCAGTGTATAAACAAACCTTCAATAAGTGAACCAGAGGAATAAATGAATTCCTGTTTTGACTCATTTTGTTAAAGACTCTTTTTTGAGAGTATAAATAAAAATCATAGAAATATAAAGTGAATGTTAGATATTCAAGGCAATCACACTATAAAATGTTGTTTGAATGATATTTCAGTAAACAAAGAAGAAACATAGTTGAATGAAAGGTTCAACATTATTGTAATTAATATCATAATGTATATTTATGTTTTGTTTTGTGTTCCACTAAACAGAGAGATAAACTATAAAGAATTACGAGTAGTGGTATTGATATATTGCAGAATTGGTAAATTTGAGATATGTAAGTAAAATTGAATTACTGGTTGTGTAAAAGCATATTTTTCAGTATTTCTAGTAGTTAATGTATAAATGTGTGTATATTTGAGTTAAATCTCATCCTATATTGTTCATAAATAAATTTTTACTTTTTATTCTGAGATCAAATAGAGGAAGCCTATTGTAAAGGTATTGATGAATAATATCTAAAGAAAAAATCAAATAAACAAGTTTACTTTATTTTTTCTTTTCCCCAAGACTAGGAGAATGCTATGTATTGTAAAGACCGTCGGTGGAATAATTAGTTTAAAGGTATAAAAAATAAACATCAGAAGTCATACTAACATCTGGCGGTTGGGTACCTGACTGAGGGTAACCCATTAGGACAACCTTTTGTAAGTGGTAATAAAAACCCTTAAGGACCACCGACAAAGACCGACAACTAAGTGTTTAAAAAGGATCCCAAAAGACCTTTTCACACCTTCCACCAGAAATACCTAAGTCTGTACCTGCTGCTTTACCTTGGCCTGGGGGAGAGGGCGTGGTCATCCCTTAGGCTGAGAATATTCAGCCAATCAGGAAAAAGACTGGCAAAAGAGAGGGGGATGAAAAAAGGTGGGAAATCGAGAATTGGGACTAGACACTTCTTTTGGAACTCGGAGAGAGAGGACTCTTTGGGAACTTGGAGCTGAGAGGACTTCTTCTGGGGACTCGGAGAGGAGAGTCGAGGGAGGAAGACGAAGACAGCCGGAGAGAGGAGATGGACGGACTAGACGCTGAAGGAGAGCAGAGACAGGGAATCCAGATATGACGGCTAGAAACACCAAGAAACACTATGAAGGACCAGCTAAGTGGTAACAAGCATTTAGTTATACTAATGTAAATTTGTGTTGGCAACCATACATCATTAATTAATATTATCAATATGACACGTAACTTTAATTAAACATCAAGCATTCTCCTCTAGTATGATTCTTAACTATTCATTATGTATATAGGTTTAGTTATTATTTTGTATATAGATGTTTTTGGTTTTATTTAAGCTTGTAAATATAATAGTTAGTAAACCAACGTAGTACTTTTACATTCTACCTTGCATGCCACCAATTAGTAATAGAAACAAATAGTACATTTATAACATGATACCTTTAGAAAGGAAATCCAATAAAGAGTATATGGTTCAATCTAGGATACTACAGTAGGGGGTCTGTGGTATCTAACATTTCAATACAAATATAAGTGCGATTCCTGGAACCCCTTACTCGCCGTAGAAACGCGAGGCCAGGAACATAGCAATATGTATTATTGTTTAACAAGATTCAATTATCCTTCTTTATAAGGATTAAGGTCATTGACCAAATTTGCTTAATCATATCCCATATACCAATCAATGGATTGGCCGTGCAGGATGAGTGGCTTGGCCTACACACTCTCCTGACCTAACACTACTTGATTTTTTTGTTTGGGATGACATTAAACAAAATACCTATGCAAGTCTGATCAATAACCTTAATTCCTTACGAAGAAGGATAATTGAATCTTGTAAAATAATAATACATATCAAGTGCTGTTCTGCCACTGCTGCTGTTGAAGAAAGATGCCGAGCATGTCTTAATGTTCAATGAAATCACTTTGAACAACATTTAATATGAATGTTAATATTTACATTTAATTAATATTAGCTTTAACTTTTAATTTAATTAATATAGTAGTTAGAACAAATAAATATGTTTTATTCATTTCATATAACGTAAATAATTCATAACAATGAAAATCTTTAAGTGTGAATATCTCCAAAAGAAAGCGTTTGTGGGTATACCTTCAGAGGAAATTTTTTTCTTGTTTTGAGATCCTTAGTTCATTTTTGCAGTTTGGCCACTTAACCCTGAAACACCCTGTATAATGTAACAACTTATTAGCCTTAGATTAATAGGAATAAATAAAATAGAATCTTTTAATTTTTGACTGACATTCACGTCTGGTAGGCTCTATCTTTTTAACAAATAAGAAGCCTCTTCTTCTTCTTTTTGTTTTAGGTAGCATTAAGTATCATCAAACATTGTTACTTGTAATAGATGAATAATGAAAATTATAGAAAGATGCAATTAATAAAAATGGGTTACCATCAAATACCATCTGTAAATAGGTCATAGTATTAATTTTTTCAAAATCAAAATCCTCAGGTTTCTTTCCTACTGATAAAATTTCTTCTCTAAGCTTTTCTTGGATATCTTGGTGACTAGCTAACTCTAACAATATAAAACATAATACACTGGATGAAGTTATAGTGGCATCCATATAAAAAGTTGCACAATTTGCAGCAATTACCATCTCTGCTTGAATTTTTTCTGAAATAAAAATATAAAAAAATAATTTAATATAAATGGTATGTGTATGTATAAAATATCAAAATTTGAATAAACCTTTATTATTTTGGCCTTCATTCTTTTTTTGTGACTTCATTATTGTATCAAAGAGATCATTTCTTGTAATTTTAGCACTCAATCGATGTTCAAGATTTGTTTTACTTATATGCAAAAAAAAATCTTCAGCCTCTTTTGTAACAAATCTAAAAAAGAAATTCAATTATTTAAAGATAATAATAATAATAATAATCAATCACACCATAAATATCAATATCTTCACTAGTAAAACCATGAACTTTGTTGCAATACAATAAAAATTTATTTTATTAATCAATAATAAATTTCTAAAAATGGATGAAACCTCTATTTGTTATAAGTAATATGTTGTAAGCAACATCATTTTAGTTATTTTTTTGAATGTGTAATTGGTTGATTTGGTAAAGCTTATTAGGACATTAGTAATCAAATAAATGAAGTAAAATTGTCAAAAAAATATGAAAAGGGATTCTGCCATTCACTAATGACATACAAAGCGGGATGTCATACCAACCAAACATTGCATTAAATGCAGCTATGGAGACTAGTTTTGAGGATGTGATGTGTGATGACCGAGCGTGTTAGATCATCGTCATTCTGACATTTACCTATGCCAGTTTGAATCTGATCTGGGTGGTTTTTATTTCATAGCAGACCCACAGCATTTTTTTTTTCTTTTACTATCTATCCACACTTGTCATGGTATTGACAATCAGCAGATGTGTTGTGATAATGAGGGTTGGCATTATAGGCATGAGGAAGGATAGTACTCAGCAGCACTTCTTCCTGGTCATTATTTATTTCTTTGATTTAGGTGAGGAGATCTCTCATTCAGCTCCTTTTTAATCTCCTCCTGATGGTCATGTCAGTTGAAGCCATGTCGTTTATAAGTTTGTTTGTGTGTCCGTGTAGTTTGAGATGAAAGCGAAAGTAGAGAGTAGGTATGTGTTGGTCTGTAGTTGCTTGTCGTAAGTCGTTATGTAAAGTTTTGTTGTTAACGTACCAGTGAGTTCCCGTTATAAGTCGTAAAATTTTGGATTGAAATAAATTTAGTTTTTGTAAGTGCTTCTTTTTTCCTGAACCGTAAATCTGAGAGGCGTATGTCCAGATGCGTTTGAGAAGGTAAGTGTATGTATTTAGTTTTAGTCGAACTTTCAATTTTGATTTAGAAAAACGTGAGTACAGTATTTTCAGTTGCTTGTTTAAGGTCTGTCATTTCATTTTGACGTGTGGGCCCCAGGTAAGCCTTCTGTCAAAATTGTGTCAGAAAATGAACGGTTGACAGAATGAAAAAGCAAATCTCTGCATGGAAGATTCTACAGCAAATTGACAAGGAGATATCCGTTGAGTGGTTGAAAGCTGGTGTATTTGCTATCCAAGACCAAGTTATTGCTACTAGATCATTTAGAAGGCATGTTCTAAGAGATACAACAACTATGGGTAAATGTCGATTATGCTCAGCGACGCTGGAATCAATCCAACATATCACAGGTGGGTGTGGCATGTTAGCTGGTACCGAGTATCTCCAGAGGCACAACAATGTGGCTAAAATTTTTCACCAGGCTCTGGCAGTGAAGCTCAACTTATTAGATGACAAAACTCCATATTATAAGTTCTCTTAGACACAGCATGTATTGTTAGAAAATTTTTTAAACATCTAAAAATAATAAATAATAAATATTAATATGAAGGTAGCTGGATTTGTGGTCTCCTACCTCAGAAACTCACCCTGCAAACTGAGAATAAAAAATAGAAATAATAATTATAATGGTAATCTCACCTAAGAGAGAATATCCTGATTAACAATGGGTGAAAGATGGATCCTATTGTATTCCAGCGACTAGAAGCAAAAACTTTTTCACTACAAGCATGCTTCAAGAAACCAAAATCTGGATCTGTAAATGACTTTGGTTCTAGGCCAAAGGCACTTAGTACCGAAAAGTCAACCATTATGCGAGTTGCAAGATCCAGAACCTAAAATATTAAGACGATTACAAATTGCTTATTATGTCACATAGTCTCATATTCTAGGAAAATGTACTGTGTATGAGAAAATGGGGTTTAATTAGAGATACCTTTTATCCAAATCAAGAGTTTAGAACAAAATTCTTACTTAAATCAATCTATATTTGTAAATGTTTTATAGGCTTTGGTCCTGTGATATGGATTATTATTGAAATTTCAGTTTAGTTAATATTTTCATGATTATTTTTCTTATGAAGGAAATCTTTTTTGGACCAAACCTTGAAAGTTAGAAAATTTTTTTGCCCTAATAATGTACAACTATAACTATGAAACGATTTTCAGAAAATAACCATTTTGCTCAAAAACTGAAATTGGGAGTGAAAGTTCAATTTTTCTGAAATGTTTACCAGCCTAAAGGTTAATCTATAGATGGGTATGATTGCTTTATATCTTATTATAACAATCAACAGAGTTGTAATTGAACTTCATATTAGAATATATTCAAATTAATTACCTTAATAGTCTGGTTTTTCTGATTTTTAATGAAGTCAAACATAAAATCTGCAACTTTGATAAAACCAGGAACTAATTCTCTTAATTTTACTTGTGTTTGATGAGCAGCTTGTACGCTTCTTGATTCTTTCCATCTGCAAATATTGGTTAGTTATTGATTTTTTTCATTCTATAATGATACATTACTTAAAATGCCAGTTTTTGTAGATAACTTGTAAAACAAGAATGAGTAGATCAACTAATACACTTATCGATGTTAATTATATTTATCTATTAACACGTTAAGAACTTATTGCTTGATGCCTCTTGAAAGATGGCTGATTTAAAATAAATAAAACTCTAATAAATATTTTATAACACATTTTACAATACTATTTGATAAAAACTGCTATTTGATGAAATAGTAGACTACTGCTATTTGATTAAATAGTAGAAGACTTCATGGTATTAGTGTATAAAATGGTAATTAGTTGGTTGTAGTTCTCATTTACATTTATGGAATTTTATTTTTCATATCTTGAAAATAAATATATAAAAACTATAATAATGTATCTTCTAAATAATAGAAATTCAAAAACTATAAGGTTTCAAAATTGAAGTTCATCTGACAATTACTGACAAATGTGCAAACAATTATGAATATTTTAACTACTAACAATTACATTAAATAATATTTTATCTTACTCAGGTATGGACTTCAATAAAAATGGGTTCAATCCAAAAATAGGGTCAAGAGTTTTATTCATATCAGAACCAGAATTGGAAAAGCTATTAAAATCTGTCACCAATATCCTTTTTATGATTTCTGGGTCTGTGACCAAGAGTGCAGGATGATAGAAACTGTAGAATCCTATGATTTTATGTTCTTTGTATTTTCTGAAAAAAAAAATTATATTTATATCTGGAAAAAATACATACACCTGAAGGGTCAAATGAATAAATATGATAAATGACATTTTGACATGTACACACGCACACAGTGGGACAAATACATACTGGGACCAATCTGAGAGGGAGGATTTGGACCAGTGCAGGACGCTGTTAGATAGAGGATGATTTTTAGCAAGAAGGATGTTATGGTCAATTGTGTCAAACACTTTGGACAAATCTAGAAGGATGAGGATAGCAAGGTTTTGGTGTCCAGTGGAGTTTTGGAGGTCATAGGTTATTCTGAGATATAAGTAGGATCCAAGGAAATGTTGTCATTGATCTGGCTGATTTCACTTTAACTCACCATAGAGATGAGTAAAGAAAATTGCATATTAAATACGTGTATTATAGTGTTATAAATTGCATAGAATCCAGCTCTACTAAATTAAAAGTGTACCTTCTGTTATATAAATGAATAAAAAACAAACAAACAGAATATATGAATATACTTTCAACATGGATAGATAAGTAAGAATGAAATTAAACATTATTTTAAAATTTAATAAAAAGTTTTAGATTTAAGAGAGTAATGATTAGTTTGTAAATTAAATAAAATGAAATAAAAACTTACTGGTAGAAATTACGATACATGCCATACATGGTTATTTTTTGTTGTAACAGAAGTCTCACATTTCCAAACAAAAACTCTGTTGGCACAGAAAATACATTCTTTCTCTTCCAGTAACCATGTGCCCACCAGTTGAATAAATATAAAGCACTAAGTGCTATAATAAATATCTCCAATAGCATAATAGTAGATACCTAAAACCTGCAAATATTTCATAACAACTTTTAATCTATTTGATTGATTCTTGTCTAACAATAGTTTTTCCCTAATGATTGAAACCACTACTCAACAGAATATAATTATTTATTGTATACTTGATGGTTGACCATTGTATATTAATGAGAAAAAAAATGGTTCCGGGATGGTGGTAATAAAAAGACTGAAATAGTGAAAAAACTATTTTTATTTCAAGCCTATGTTTTGACCATGCAGATCTTCAGGGCTAAAATTGATTTTTTTAAATAACATTTTTCATTCTATAATGATATATTACTAAAAATGCCAGTTTTTGTAGGTAACTTGTAAAACAAGAATGAGTAGATCAACTAATACATTTATCAAAGTTAATTATTTTTATCTATTAACATGAAAAGAACTTATTGATTAGTGCCTCTTGAAAGCTGGCTGATTTAAAAGAAATAAATCTCTAGTAAGTATTTTATAACACATTTTACCACACTACCACAACTTCTGGGCTAAAATGAATCATACAAATCTCAAGGAAAGATTAAAAGGAAAAGGAAAAATAATAAAGAATATTGGACATAAAAAGAGTGTGAAGAAAACAATATAATGCTTACATGCAGCAAAGAGTTTCAGTTGACTGTCAAGTCTTAAGGAAAAAAAAACTGACATTGTTGGAGAGTGGTGAGGGTAAGTAGTAAAAAGAAAACTAAGAATCAGGAATACTACTATATCTAAAATTTGAAGACATTGATGAATGGAGAAATGAAAGATCATACAATACATGAAAAATTTAAAAAATTTAATTTGAAAGAATAAATAAAAAAATTGAAAATGAATAAAAATAACTAAACAAGAATAAGAAAAGTTGTAATAAAGAAGCTATGTATGATTTATTAGATTTAAAATGTGTCTATATGTTAAGGAGATCCAGTTTTTATCCATTTTATGATTAACCGGATTCTGTTCCATGTGGATGTTGATGGATTCGGAAATGAGTCTTTTTTCATGGTTAGGGACCATGGCAAGAATGAAGATTTTTTCAAAGGCAAAAGCATGGTTGAGGGTCAAGGCATGTTCTGATAGTTTAGAGGCAGAAACGTTCCAGGAAGTTATGGATGTTTTATGTTGGGAAATATTTTCTAACATCAACCATTCATAATTATTTATTTATTTTTTTATTCCCCAAAAATTTTAATATTCAAATTACAATTACTTTTTTCTTGGACAGCCCAAGTGAATTTAATGGTAGCAAGAGAATAGGTATGTATGCATGTGAGAGGAAAACAAAGAGGATACACATCTGTAACTATTATGGCTTACGGGGAGGGGCCACTCTGTAATTATTGATTTATTGTAACTAAATAATTCTAGAACAATCAAATCATGTTAACTGAGAGCAGATACAAAAATTAATTCCTCGACATATCTTATAAAAATTTATAAAAACCTCTAAAAATTGAACTAAAAGTGTTTATCAACAGCCATTACTTAATTCAAAAGAAAGCTGGGATTAAAAGATGCAGGTGTTCATGCATCGGTGTATGCAGGCTAAGTACAATATTTGTTGGAAAAATATAAAATAAATTTAAAGTAATAGCAATCAATTTGTAAAAAATATATTGACAGTAGCAAGTGGGTGTTTAGTATTTCATTATTTTGGAAGAAATGAAATATAAAAGAAAGATACCCTCTTAATGAAAATAATTAACTTTAGAAGATTGCTCTTTCTTTCGTTTTGAGCTGAATACTCCCTGAGGATAACTCTTTTTCTTAAATTTTCTTTTTGATATCTATGGACTGATTTTATAATATTTTCATAATATTACACCTAAAATCTTCAACAGATTTTGTTCAGTTCATGTCCACATGAGGATGATTAGGAATTCTGACATTTTTAAATCGACAAAACACAGGCTGCAATTATCTCTCCACTTCGGATTCTTTTTCTAGATGAACACCGGGTACTGAGGCCAGCTTCGACAGATCCTCATCATTAAAACTCTTGATAGTGGAGACCCATTTTTAATAAACTGTATATTATATGGGAAAAATTGCACCTCGATAACGCTGATTGGTGAGACGAAAGACAAAGGGTCAAGAAATACTGGACAGACTGAAAATACAGGACTGGTGCCATCCTTGTATAGACTAATCACCCACATGATTTATTATTATTTATTTTTTTTATTTGCATGTACATTCAGAGATTTTTATATATGTAATTTAAATATGCATCTTTTATGATTTAAATTTAGAATTTTTGCCTCCGCCTGGGTATATCACCAAGTTCTGGGCTGTTTAGACCATTAAAATAAGGATTGTTGATGGAAGTGAATGTTGGACAGTAAAGGATTATTTTAATTGCTTAACTCCACTTCTTATAACAGTTTTGCAGGGCCCTTCCAAGCCATCTGACTTTACAACTAACAAATAAAACATACAGGTTTCTTTTAAGACTTTTTTTTCCCCCTATGTTGGCTCAATCCTTCCATTGAAGTCCTATACTGCATATTAAGACTTATTTCAGACTTAAGACTTACTGGTAAATAAACAATTTCAGAGGAGCCCATCCTCCCCAAGGCCGATAAACCTTCCCCAACCCCTCCCAAGATATTTTATTCCTCTCTTCTTCTTAAAAACAGTGCAAAGGAAAGTAAAATTTAAATATCTGTAGATTATATACAATAATACATAATGCGTTCTGTCCCATGCTTCCACTTGTCTTTTAATTTGAATCATTTCATTTTAAAAATTCATAACCCCCACGAAATACACCCCTCTCAAAAACAGAAAACCCTGTCAAAATGTAACCCTCCCCCATAAATTTTGACAGCACAACTTGCACCATGAAACCCCTTTTAGGCACACCTGAACTATTTCATTTATTGATTTATAAAATGTTGAATATGCATATCTCCAAAACGTCAGTCCTAAAATAAATTGAATACTTAAAACCATTAAATCAAGTCTATTTTGCTCATTCAATTAATTATTTTAAAATTTAATCATGACAATGCAAGTAGCCAAACATGGTGAAGAAATATTATTTTACCAGCAGAAATATGACAAGCCCAGACTTTAGAAATAAAGTTTTTTTATTTTTATTATTTTTATTTCTTTATGACATTTACAACTGTATTACATAAATACATCAAGTAAATTTGGACATAATTGATATAATGACATGAATACACTTGCTGAGTAACTACCCAATGTAGTCCATGATATGACTACATTAGGAGATCATGGGGCCAGAAATAAAGTAAATAATTATTATTAATTTAGAAGACCAACAGTTCTAATTTAGAATAATTAAAACAATTTTAATAATTTTAACGAAAACATGTTGCAAAGAATATAGATCTTATCAAATTTTCGACATGAATCATACAATATGACGTGAATGAAAAAAGTACAACATTTCTATCATTTACCACTTACTGGTAAAATAATTAATTATATATTTCATATTCAATATCGTAGTGGATATTCGTTTTTCATTTGTTAGAATAACAGCCTTAATTTGATCATTTTAAAAGCATATCGAGTTGTTTATAGTGTGTCTCTAACATTTATCTTTCTGTTATCTTTATTTGTTTTCGATGGGATGAAGGTTACGGTAAAAACTCACACATTAATAGTACATTATTGTAATTTGTTGTTTGGTTTAACGTTTTTACGAACTGCTATTCTCTTTCCAAAATCAGGTTATCTTAAAATTTACAAGGTTTTCCAAACAAGAGTGAGGAATAGAAATCGCGTGAGTTTGTGAGTAACTAAAAGTCTAATCTTCTAGACCGGATTTGAACCAGCAAAAACCTGTCTCCGAAGTCCATTCCACAGCAGGATGACATTCAACCAGAGTTTCCATCATATTTATTTATATTTCCCTTTTGGTCAGTTTTATATATATATATATATATATATATATATATATATATACATACATATAAATAAATAGTTTCTCTTTTTTATCCCTCACAACCTTAAAATTTCCATAAAAACGGAATTTTTTCACCTAAGCGGAAACACTTCATCCAACTCACTCAACTACCTCGAACTATTATAATTTATTTAATACTGATATGCTTTTTTTTCTTAATGTATTTACAATTGTATTAAGGAAATATATTTAGTAAATTTGAACATATGGATATAATGACGTGAAAACACTTGTTGAGTAACTACCCAATGGTAGCACTCTAATGGTATGTCTACATTAGGAGATCACGGGCCATCTTCTTTTCAGACGCATCGGAGGGTTGTCAGGAATTGAAGAGGAAACAAGGTCAGAAACGAGGGGGTTGGGATGAGTCTGAAGTTTATTATGGAAGAATAGGTATCTGGGTTGGGCCAGATCTGAAACATAAGAAACATTAAGGTCATTATGGATGGTTTTATTTGTAACATAGTGGGAGCATTGAGGATTTTTCGAAAGATTTTGGATTGTAAGGATTGGATACGAGAGGAATTCGATAGTTTAGTGGAGCTCCATAGCAAGTTCAAATAGGCCTTATTATAGTCATGTATATGAGTCTTTTGTAATTAATTGGAAGTTTAGAGCGTTTGTCTAGTAAGTGCTGAAGTAATCGGAAACGTCGAGCGGTTTCTTGTCATTTCAGTCTGGTATGAGATATGCTTATTAAAATAACATACGATTTTTTATGAAGTGTCTCGTATATCCATTCAAATTAATTAATTAAAATATCAGAGTGTAAGATAGTAATTAGAAAAACATATTAATTATTAAAACTAATACATTTCAGTAATAGTTTTCTTTTCTGTTGCTTTGCAGACCATATTTATCTTTGGCTGCCTGAACTAGCCTTTTTCATTTCTACCTAACTTGAGCAATTGTTTTCTAATTTTCTGCATGCATCTCAGCAGGGGTGCCCCTTCCCCCAAGGTCAATTGCGCAAGAATCTACCCCTCCCTCCTCCCAAGATATTTTATTCCTCACCGTTTCTTAAAAACAGAGAAAAATTAGAAAAGTGGTAGATCATACACAATTACAC